CCGGGGCGAAGGTGGAAGACGGAGGGGCTGTTTGTTTCATAGAGAGTGTCCCAAATTTCACGCAAGAAGTAATTTTGATAGAAAACACAGGTTTATAATTATAAATTGTAAATTTTTTATTGATTCATAAAGTATACAGTCTAGGGTTATGTATGGAATAGCACATCGGGTAAATGGCCTCCACGGCTTTGCTGGCACATACGCAAAGCTGTGGTCTTCGTTGGTCTTCATTGTCCCTGCTCCTGGGCCATCATTGGTCCTTGGTAATGCTTATCAAATTGAAGGGATTGAAATCAAAGGGCAACAGATATTAGAATCTGATTCAATAAACCAAGTAAAATTAGGCTTTTATTTTTTTGTTGTTGTTAATCTTGCGTGAATTTCGGGACACCATACAGTAACCAGAGGGTGACTGGTGACAGCCGTGCTCCGCAGGTACCTGAAGCACACGCTGGACCAGCACGTGCAGAGCGACTACACCGTCGTCTACTTCCACTTCGGGCTCAGCAGCCAGAACAAGCCGTCGCTGCGCTGGCTGCAGGGCGCCTACCGGGAGTTCGACAGGAAGTGCGTGCCGGGGCCTGGGGGGCGGGCGGGCGGGCGACACGCGGCTCACGGTGCGGGGGGCACGGGCAGGAGTGGCTGGTCGCCTCCTCTCGGAGCCGGGGCTGTGCCCTGCGTGGTCCGCGGGGCGGGTGGCACCCGTGTTTACGGGGCCGGCGGTCAGGAGTCCCGCTCCCAGGCCATCGGGTCTTCGTCACGACCACTCAGCTGCCGGTCGGCGTGAGCGCAGCCACGGTGTGTGAGCAAACGGGAGCTGTGTTCCAGCAAAGGCGGTTCTGGGCCTCGCCGGTGGCTCAGTGGTTAGAGCGCCGGCCGGTGCGCCGAAGGGTCATGGGTTCAATTCCCGGTCAGGGGCATGTGCCTCGGTTGTGGGCTCGATCCCCAGCCCCGGTCGGGGCATGTGTGGGAGGCAACCGTGTGTCTCTTTCACATCGATGTTTCTCTCTCTCCCACCTTCCTCCCTCCCCTCGACTTTCTTTAAAAAAAAAATCAATGAAAAAAATATCCTTGGGTGAGGATGAAATTTTTAAAAAGTAGTTTTGGACGCTGAAATGTGAACTTCATTCCATTTTCACTCGTCATGTCATGAACTGTTATCCTGTTCATTTTTTCCAACCGTGGGAAAACATTCGCCCTTCTTGGCTGCGGGCCGTACCAAAGCAGGAGGCGGGCCGGTTTGACCCCGCCAGGCCCCATGGTCACCCGCTGGCCCGCTCGCAGCCTCCGTCCGCCCGGTGCGTGCCAGCTGCCTTGGCTCAGCCCACAGGCTTTGCACTGAATTATTCAGGAGGGAGGGAGGGAGCTAGCAGCACCTCGTTTTTAAGTGGGTGCTGGTGCCTCGTGGTGGGGGACGCTGTGGCCCACAGGGTAGGCGCCCTGCCCCCAGAGTCAGTTCCGAGCAGAGAGGGGGTGAGGGTCTGTGCAGCTCAGTTCTGAGCGCGTCGCCCTGTAGCCCTCAGGTGCGCCCCGCCCCGGCCTCCGCGTGAGCCCGTGACACCGCCACCAGGTGCTGCCCACGCCTGGGCGGGGAGGCGGGGTCCTGACGCCCCGGGGGGACCCTCTCTGAGTCGGGGTTGGCGTCCTTCAGCTCGGGCGTCGCCGTGCAGCGGGTCTGAGGCCTGTGCCCTCCCTCAGGTACAAGAAGAACCTGAAGGCCCTCTACGTGGTGCACCCCACCAGCTTCATCAAAGTCCTGTGGACCGTCTTCAGCCCCTCATCAGGTACCGCCTGCTGGCCCGGCCACGGCCACACTGCCCCCAGGGTCCCCGCGACCCTCCTCTCCCTCGGTGAGCGGGTGCACCCATACATGTGCTCACACGTGCGCACACACATATGCTCACACATGCACATGTATGTATGTGCTCACATATGCACGCACCATCTGTGATCCCAGGTCGGTCTCCGAGCGGCTGCCTTCTGAGCGTGTTCTGCTCTCTGGGCCACTCTGGGACTTGAGAAGGCACTTCCAGCGTCCATGCTGTGAGGGGACCGGAGGAACCCCGTGCCATCCACCCATCCACCATCCCCCCCGCCCCCACTCTCACACACACACACACACACACACACACACACACACACACCCCTCAGTGTGCGGCGGCCTGAGCCCTGCTCGCCATCTGCAGAGCCTGGGGTCCAGCAAGTGCCGCGGGCTGGAGAGGGACCGCAACGCAGACAGAGGCTGAGGGTTCTGGCGTTGGGACGCGGAGCCTCCTGCAGCTCTGAAGCTGACGCCTCTGTCCCGCGGATGTTCCCGCAGGACCCCAAGGCCCCCTGTGCCCCCCAGTGCAGGAGGCTGGGGGCCCGGGCACCGATCTGATTCCCCTCCTCCACTAGGGGGAGCCAGTGCACGCGGCTGGGCCTCCCCCCGGGCTCTGGGCTCAGCTGGGCTTGTGATAAAACAGCGCGGTTTCCATTATGAGATGGGAAGGTTCTAGAGACCTGGGCGGCACGGAGCCTGCGGTAGCAGTGGTGTCATGCGCTCGGAGACTGGCTAAGAGGGCGCGTCTCATGTTGTGTTCACACTCACACATACACTCACACACACAGAGACGCATACTCACACACACACTCACACACAGACACAGAGACACACGCAGTCACTCACACACACACACTCACACAGACACACACAGACACAGACACACAGACACACACACTCACACAGACAGACACACACACACTCACACAGACAGACACACAGACACACATACACAGACACACAGACACACACACTCACACAGACAGACACACACTCACACACACAGAGACACACACACTCACTCACACACACACACTCACACACACAGACACACTCACACACACACAGACACACATACACAGACACACTCACACACACACAGAGACACACACTCACAGACACACACACACAGACACACACACTCACTCACACACACAGACACACACACACAGACACACACACACACACACACACACGCAGGAGGACACGAGGAAGCCGGGGAGGCGGATGCGCTCGCCACCTTGACTGTGGAGACGGTGTCACGGGCACGCACCGTCCACACTCACCCGCCTGCAGGTGAGCGAGGGCCGTTCTGTGTCAGTCAGTCATGCTTCAGGGAAGCTGTACAACCTGCAGCCCAGCCCTGGCTGGTGTGGCTCAGTGGTTGAGCGTCGACCCATGAGCCAGGAGATCACGGTCCGATTCCTGCTAAGGGCACAGGTTATGGGTTCGATCCCCAGTCGGGGCACATATGGGAGGCAATCGATTGATATTTCTCCATCAGTGCTTTTCTCTCTCCCCCATCCTTTCTAAAATCCATAAAAAACATATACGTGGGTGAGGATTTGTTTTTTACGTTAAAAAAGAAAATGAGTGGTCATTTGGCAGGAGCGGCTGCTGGGCTCACATGGTGCCCCTCCTGTGCCCTCCCCACTTTGCAGCTCAGGGCACCGAGGCTCACTGACCACGGTGGACACGGGAAGAACATTGTAGTAACCGTGTGTGGGGCTGGGTGGGCGCTGGATTCAGCGTCACTTCCTACAGCCCCCAAGTGTCTGGTCACGGTTGTACACCTGACGCTAAGAATAGAGTGTGTCAACTGTAATGAAAAATAAAATTTATTTAAAAAGAGATGAGAAACATAGCACTGGGCACGGGGTGGTGCCTGCCAGGTGCGGCCGTGGGCTGGGTGCCATGGTCGCCTCCGGAGGGAGAAGCCATTCCAGGGGCGAGGACGCCCAGGGCTTGTCTGGCCTGTGGCCGTGCTGGCTCCACTGTGTCCCCAGGGCCACTGCGTCCTGGGGAGAATCCAGAGAGGACTGGACTGGTCCCCGCCCTCACGGGACCCTCAGGGGAGAGGAGGTGGTGGGTGGGAAGCACCACTGACCCAGCAGCCTCGGGCCCAGCCCGCTCCGGCCGCCCTGCCCGCGCCCTCGCTCCCACGCCCCCCTCCCCCACGCAGGTTCCCCCCGATTCAACCTGGAGGCAGGTCTTGTTCGTACGCAGAGGAGTCTCCGGAGCGTCTGGTGCATCCGGGAGCCTGTAAAAGCGAAACGCCGGGCACGGCGGCCTCTGCGCCCTGGCTTAGGAGGTGTCACTCAGGAACACGCGCTGACCGCCCAGCCCGTACCCCTCCCCGCACCCCCCGCGCCCGCAGCTCTGCGCCTGGTTTAGGAGGTGTCAGCGGTCACACTGTCAGGGGAACACACACTGATCGCCCAGCCCGCGCCCTCCCCGCACCCGCGCCCGCAGCTCTGCGCCCGCAGCTCTGTGGCAGCCTAATGTTCCCATCTCCTTCTTCTGCACTTTTAGTCACAAGTTTGGGAAAAAAGTCACCTACTTCAACTACCTGAGCGAGCTCCGTGAGCACCTCAAATGCGACCAGCTGGCCATCCCCCCGGAAGTCGTGCGGTGAGTCGCACCCCATCCCGTGCGACCTCGGTCCCGTCCCCTCTTCGTGTCCAGCGAGTACCGGCTAGCCTGGCGCGGGCCAGGGCAGGTGCTGCCGCGGGGAGAGGCGGTGCGGGCTGGCGGGACCCGCGCTTTCTGGCCTCCGTTGCAGGATGGGTCTCACACGCTCCCCGGCGGGGCTGCCTGGGGGGCAGCGTCCTTGCTCTGGCGTGGAGTCAGGGGCAGTCAGGGTGTGGGGACGCTGTGGGGACCGGAGTCAGGGCAGTCAGGGTGTGGGGACGCTGTGGGGACCGGAGTCAGGGCAGTCAGGGTGTGGGGACCGGAGTCAGGGCAGTCAGGGTGTGGGGACGCTGTGGCCGGAGTCAGGGCAGTCAGGGTGTGGGGACGCTGTGGGGACCAGAGTCAGGGGCAGTCAGGGTGTGGGAACCGGAGTCAGGGCAGTCAGGGTGTAGGGACACTGTGGGGACCAAATGCTCTCAGGACGTCCCGGTGCCCTGGACACCCACGGGGCCGATGGCGTTTGCTGAAAGCCCGTTGGTGTGTCTGCTGCTTTGTTTTACACGCAGCGAGCGACCCCCTCCCGTCTCATGTGGGGAGGGGGCGGGGGGACCCAGGAAGGTGTGTGATGGCCCTCACCCCCCAGCCAGCACAGGGCGGGGCCCGATCCAGCAGATGCTTCTGACCCTGCCTGGGCGCCCTCTGACCCTGCCTGGGCGCCCTCTGACCCTCCCTGATGCCCTCTGACCCTCCCTGGGCGCCCTCTGACCCTGCCTGGGTGCCCTCTGACCCTCCCTGGTGCCTGTGCCCTTTGCAGCTCCCTCTCTGGATCTCCTCTGAAGGAGCAGGGCCCTTGCCAGGCTGCATGCAGCGGAGGCCAGCAGCCTCACAGGGCGTGCAGATGCTGGGCTCCCTCTGGGCACCAAGTCAGTGCCAGATGCTGGGGGGGAGCAGTGCAGGGAGCGCCTGCCCTCAGGACACTCCCAGGTGGTCGAGGCCGCGCCAGTGCTAACAGGCCCGCAGGAGGCACTGAACCCAGCGGGGAGGGACCCGGGGAGGGGGTACTGCAGAGGCTCCCAGGAGGAGGCGACTCCTGAGCAGTGTCACAGGGACAGTGGCCGGGAGGGCGTTGCCAGGGAGGGGGCTGTCCCTGTGCAGGCACACGTGGGTGACACAGTGGCCAGAGGTTGGCAGGAGAGACTGGGCAGTTGATGGGATTGGACTTCCCTTCCTGCCGTCTGTGTAACCCCTGCGGCAATGGGTGTGTGTGTGTGTGTGTGTGTGCGCGCGCACACGTGTGTCTGTGCATGTATGTGTGTGTGCGTGTGTGTGTGCGCGTGCGTGCATGTGTGCGTGTGCAGCCGCGTGTCTGCCCGCAGGGTGAGAGCCGGCCTCTGCTGTGCCCGCAGGTACGACGAGAAGCTCCGGAACCTGCACAAGGGCCGGCCACTCGCTCCCGTCAAGACGCCGCCGCCGCGGCCCCCGCTGCCCACCCAGCAGTTTGGCGTCAGCCTGCAGTAGTAAGTGAGCCGGCGCGGCCTGTCCTCGCTTCCTCCGCGGGGCCCTGGGACGCCCCTGTGTGTGGGGCCCTGGGACGCCCCTGTGTGTGGGGGGCCCTGGGACGCCCCTGTGTGTGGGGCCCTGGGACGCCCCTGTGTGTGGGGCCCTGGGACGCCCACCTCATGGGCTTCAAAAGCCGTCCACCCGAGCCCTAGCCCGTTTGGCTTGGTGGATAGCCCATCGGCCTGCGGACTGAAGGGCCCCGGGTTCGATTCCGGTCAAGGGCACGTGCCCGGGTTGTGGACTCGACCCCTAGTGTGGGGCGTGCAGGAGGCAGCCAATCAGTGATTCTCTCTCATCATTGATGTTTCTATCTCTCCCTCTCCCTTCCTCTCTGAAATCAATAAAAATATATACGTTTTAAAAAGCCACCCACCCGAGTGTGGGGGACGCACAGTAATCTGTGTGGTCCCTCTGCTCTGGGAAGCCCACCAGGGCCCTGTGGTCTTGGGTTTGAGCAGGTGCCTCTCAGAGCGTGTGGACACGGCATTTGAGCTGCCGATCGAAGGCAGGCGGTAGTGATGTCCCTTACAAAAGCCGGGTGCATGCCTACAAACAGGTGGGGAACCTTTTTTCTGCCAGGGGCCGTTGGATATTTAGAACATCATTTGCAGGCCACACAAAACTACCAACGGAAATATTGGCCCGCGATGTTTGGTCAAACACTTAATGAACTCACCCCTAGTGCCTCAGCCAGCAGGGCCAGACCACATGACCTCGCAGGCCTTGTACGGCCCGCCGGCCGGCCGTGCCCCACCCCTGCAGCAGGGCCGGTCGTCACTGTGAAAGTCCGCTCCTTGTTCCCTGAGGGAGTGACAGGAGCATCGCACAACCTGTGAAAACCCGCGCGGGCCGCTCTGAGAGGGAATCGGTGCGACCGGCTCTTTAAATTAATATTTTATGCCGCTTCATTGCGAACACTGTAATAAAATGGCAATAAACATATTAAGTAAAGCACCAAATATGTGATTTGCTTGGACTATGAATGAATAAACATCATTAAAATTCATAACAGAGTCCTATTCACAAATGTTAATTTGCTGAGTTGGGTTCCACAGCACACAGCAGAAAGCCATCACCTTAGAACAGGCTAATTGAGTCCGTATATTACGGGGCAGACAGATTCAGGAGGTCCTTGCTGGCTCGTTGTGCCTGAAGAGGGAGCATGGAAACGCACGTGTGTGTTTAGTGCAGCCCTGTCTGGGCCAGGGTGGGCCACTGGGAAGAGGGAGGGGAGGCCACATCCCAGTTCTGGCACTTTCCAGCTTTGGGAAGGCGAGCTAACAACGCCAGTTTCTTTCTCTGTAACTGGAATTGAACCCCTGCCCCCCTCACCCTCCAGGGCCACGGGGGCCTAACAACAGGGTGTCAGACTATATGAGCCAGTTCCTGCCACCTAGCACTTCGCCTGCTCTTCCTCCTCCTTCAGAGTCCCCTCCTCCAGGAAGCCTTCCCTGATGACTCCACACAAACAAGAGCCACTTGTTGAAAAGCCTATTTTTTTCTCCCATTGGCCAGCCCTGGCCGGGGTGGCTCAGTTGGTTGGAGCATCATCCCGTGCACTGAAGGGTCATGGGTTCGATTCCTGGCCAGGGCACATACATAGGTTGTGGGTTCCATACAGGAGGCAACCAATCGATGTTTCTCTCTCACATTGATGTCTCTCTCTAATTTTCTTTTTAAAGCATATCCTTGGGTGAGGATTTAAAAAACAAAAGAAAACAAGTCGGCCATTACGTGAGGGTTTATTTCTGGACTCTCAAGTCCACCCTGTTGCTCTAGATGCCGGTGCTGTACTATCTTTATCACTGAAGCGTTTAGTAGGTTTAGAAATCGGAAGTGTGAGCGCTCCACTTCGTTCTTTTTCGGGATCGTTCCAGCTATTCTGGGTCCCTCGAGTTTCCGTGTTAATTTTAGAACCTGCTTGTCAGTCTGCAGCGCAGGCCGCGGGGCTCCCAGTGGGGATGGTGCTGCCTCCCGTTTGGGGGTTTGCCATCTTAGCAATATTGCGGTTTGAGTCCGTGAACGCAGGCGGTCTTTCCGTTTATTGGGACCTTTTCAAAACTTCCAGGTTGTTTTGTAGTTTTCTCTGTACCTGTTCTGCCCTGTTTTGTCAGTGACCGATGGCGACGGATCCGGGGGTGCTCTGTGCATTGGCGAGCGGGACCGCGTGGCTCCTTGGCCTCTGCTTCTCTCGCAGAGCGGAAGGCTCGCTGAGCAGGGCACGCTCCTGCAAGGGAAGAGGTGAAGGGTGGCTGCGGGCGGGGGACACGTGTCTTTGGTCTCCGGCACCCGGTGGCTGTGCAGAGAGTGTGAGACGCCACCTGGGAAGCTGCGGGGGGCAGTGGGGGGAAGTGGGGGGAATCAGGCCTCCTGAGGCTCCGGCTCAGGTCACGTGCCGGCCTCACTTGCCAGAAGCCCCACCCGTTAGAGTTTGGGGGCCTGGTCTCGCCGATGAAGCAAACCTGTTTCTCTTTGCCCATTTGCCTCCCAAAGAGGGGGGCAGCTGAGCAGAGGTGAGTCACAGCATTCCAAGGCCTGGGGCACCTCCCAGCCCCCCCACTGCACCCAGACCCCCACCTCGGAACACAAGCCTGGGGCTGCTCCAGGGACAGGGCCTGGGAGTCTGCTTTGATTGAACCCTAGGCTGTGTGACCGCAGATAGAACAACTAGCCTCTCGAGTCTACTTTGTCCTCTGTAAACATGAGGCGCTGTGATGAAGCCAGTGGGCTTAGTAGCGTGCCAGGCGCACAGTAGGTCCTCACGCTGGGTGCTTTCTGTGATGTTCATGGGCGCTGCCCAGTTCTGGCGGCACCCAGGCCCTCCCGGCTGGCTTGTGGCCGAGACCTTCGCCGATCGTGATGCAAGATCCATCCGTTTCAGAGGATGGGAGAGGGTGTGAGATGAAGGACCAGCTCAGAGGGTAGGAGGAGCCTGGGTGCCACCCTCCCTGTTATCACCGTAATTTCAGGTGACCCTCCCTCTCTCCCTGTTCCTCCTGTTTTTAAAAAAATCACAAACTCGCCCTGACCAGTTTGGCTCAGTGGATAGAGCATCGGCCTACGGACTGAAGGGTCCCGGGTTCGATTCCGTTCAAGGGCATGTGCCTTGGTTGTGGGCACATCCCCAGTGGGAGGTGTGCAGGAGGCAGCTGATCGATGTTTCTCTCTCATCGATGTTTCTAACTCTCTATCCCTCTCCCTTCCTCTCTGTAAAAAATCAATAAAATATATTAAAAAAAAAATCACAAACTCGCCCTAGCTGGCTGCTCAGTGGTTAGAGTGTCGGCCCGCAGACCGAAGGGTCACGAGTTCGATTCCTTGTCACGGGCACATTCCTCAGTTGCAGGCTAGATCCTCAGCACATGTGGGAGGCAACCAATCGATGTCTTCTCTCTCTCTCTCTGGCTTCAGATCCTGATTCTGCCAAATGAGCTGTGGGGGAGAGTGTCTGTCTGTGTGTCTGTGTCAGTGTGTCTGTCTGTGCCTGTGTCCATGTCTGTGTGTGTCTGTGTCCATGTCTGTGTTCGTGTCTGTGTGTCTATGTGTGTGTCTGTGTCCATGTCCATGTCCGTGTTCATGTCTGTGTGTCTGTGTGTGTCCGTGTCTGGGTCTGTGTTCGTGTCTGTGTGTCTATGTGTGTGTCTGTGTCCATGTCCATGTCCGTGTTCATGTCTGTGTGTCTGTGTGTGTCCGTGTCTGGGTCTGTGTTCGTGTCTGTGTGTCTGTGTCCATGTCTGTGTCCGTGTTCGTGTCTGTGTCTGTGTGTGTCTGTGTCCATGTCCGTGTCTGTGTGTCTATGTGTCTGTGTCCGTGTCCGGGTCCATGTCCGTGTCCGTGTCTGTGTGTCTGTGTCCGTGTCCGTGTCCATGTTCGTGTGTCTGTGC